ACTTATTGTTAGACCGAACTGTTAAAATACAATGTTCTCGACGCGACTATGTCTACAACGTATTATCTAAATCAGGCGTGTCAATCTCGTTTTGGCCCGAGGGCCAATCTGCATATTGCTATCACGTAGACGGCCAGAATTATTTTACAACAAAATACGTCTGACGATATAACGAACAAAGAGTGTCTAATTACCTGTCTCGAACATTAATAGCAGCCAACGGAACTCGGCGTGATAAAACATATTTAAAGAAAGTACTGTTTCAGTAGTCGGAAACCACTATTATTATCACTATCACGCATAAATATCACTGAAAAATTGCGATAAACAAGCACTGTAAATGGCACAGCTAAAATCCTGTTGTAGAAACCTATCCTGAAAACTACGAATATCCAGATATTTAAACGATGCACAATTGGATGCAGTTTCAACATTATAGAGAACCAATGTTACATGTCTAACCTTCGTAAAAGAATTAATATCCTAATCAGTGATTATTATTATCGTTGTCGGGGCATGTAAAATACATATACAGGGTGTTCTGCCAACCATAGGAAAAATTTTAATGGGGGATTCTGGAGGCCAAAATAAGACGAAAATCAAGAATACTAATTTGTTGATGGAGGCTTCGTTAAAAAGTTATTAACGTTCAAAGTTCCGCAAGTGCTGAATTTTTTTCTAGAAAACGCGCAGGATTTCGGGGCTATGTCTATTCACCAAAAATTATTATAATTGACTCTCGTAATCGAAAATAATTTTTCCAGAACGATTTGAAATTTTTTGTTATCGAAAAATTTAGGCACCTAATTATATTTTCGGTAATGAATTTTTTTCTCGTAAATGGGTAGGATTTCGAGGACATGTCTATTCACCTAAAATAATTGTAATCCACCCCTGCAACCGAAAATAATTTTTCCAGAACGATTTGAAATTTTTTGTTATCGAAAAATTTAGGCACCTAATTATATTTTCGGTAATGAATTTTTTTCTCGTAAATGGGTAGGATTTCGAGGACATGTCTATTCACCAAAAATAATTGTAATTGATCCCTACAACCGAAAATAATTTTTCCAAAACGATTTGAAATTTTTTTTCTCCGTCGAAAAATTTCACACCTTCTCGAATTTTTTTCTAGAAAGTGAGTAGGAATTCGGGGGTATGTCTATTCACCAAAAATGATTATAATTGATCCCCGCAAACGAACATAATTTTTCCAAAACGATTTGAAATTTTTTTTCTCCGTCGAAATATTCATACCTTCTCGAATTTTTTTCTAGAAAGTGGGTAAGATTTCGGGGGTATATCTATTCACCAAAAATGATTATAATTGACCCCCGCAAACGAACATAATTTTTCCAGAACGATTTGAAATTTTTTTTTTCCGTCGAAAAATTTAGGCACCTAATTAGATTTTCGGTAAGGAATTTTTTTCTCGAAAGTGCGTAGGATTTCGGGGATATGTGTAATGACAAAAAATGATTGTAATTGACCCCTGCAATTAAAAATAATTTCTTTGGAACGATTTGAAATGTTTTAATTTTGTCGAAAAATGTATCCACTCCTTGAATTTTTTTCTCGAAACTGAGTAGGATTTCGGGGTTACGTCTATTGACAAAAAATGATTGCAATTGACCCCTGCAAATAAGAATAATTTTTTCAGAATGATTTGAAATTTGTTAATTTTATTTTTTAATAACTTTTAAAGGAAGCCTCAGTCATGAAATTAATATTCTTGATTTTCGTCTTATTTTGATTCCTAGAATCTCCCATTAAAATTTTAACAACGTAAGAGGCACAGCTAGAAATGCTGTATCGTAACCTAACCTCAAAACTACGAATCTCACAAAACGTGTTCAATGTAGTTTGAACACTACTGAGAACCAATACGTGTCACGCGTCTAACGTCACTTCGTAAAAAAATAAATATCCTGCGAGTTATAGTAATATATTAACCTAACCACTATTTACTATTATTATCGTTATTATTTACACGTAAAATATATATAAATATCACTGAGAAATTACGATATACAACTACTGCAAAAAGCACAGCAAAAATTCTGTATCGAAACCTAACCTCAAAACAACGAATATCCAGAATCGATGCACAACTCAATGTAGTTTCAACATTATTAAGAACCAATATTACACGTCTAACCTCCCTTCGTAAAATAATAAATATTCTGCGAATCACAGTAATATAATAACCTAACCACTATTTACTATTATTATCGTTATCATTTACACGTAAAATACACATAAATATCACTGAGAAATTACTATACACAAGTACTGTAAAAAAACACAACAAAAATTCTGTATCGAAACCTAACCTCAAAATTACGAATATCCAGAATCAATGAACAATTCAATGTAGTTTCAACATTACCGAAAATCAATATTACACGTCTAACTTCCCTTCGTAAAAGAATAAATATTCTTCGAATCATAGTAATATAATAACCTAACCACTAATTATTATCATTAGCGTTATCACTTACACGTAAAACACATGTAAATATCACTGAGAAATTATGATGCACAACGTAAGAGGCACAGCTAGAAATGTTGTATCGTTACCTAACCTCGAAACTACGAATATCACAAAACGTATTAAATCTAGTACTACCGAGAACCAATACGTGTCACGCGTCTAACCTCACTTTATAAAAGAATAAATATTCATCGAGTCATAGTAACATAAATCCGTCGCGACGGTCTCTAAACGCACGAGAGATGCTGCGTTAGGAGCGGAGCAACGTTGCAACGCGACACGAGAACGCAACGGTCGACCGATAGCGCCGATAAATTGATACCGTCGCGGTAATCGTTTTTCGCGACAACTGGACGAGCGAGGTCAGTAGCACCGTCGCGAGTGACCCTTGGCGACAGGGGCAGAGAGGGCCCCCAGACAGGTAATAAAAAACCATTTCGATCGACAAGAGGCTTCACGTGAAGGAGGAAGTGGGCGGTATCGAAAACTCTTCCCGAGTTGACGAACGATAATAATAACGCGTGTGCACACCGGTGCACCGGTCGACACGGAACGTTCGATCAACGGTACCGTAACGCGTTTTTTTTTTCTCCCACCCTCTGACGGATTCTCGCGAGATCACGCCTGGCGCACACGCGTTTTTGAATATTCGACGCGAGCGATGCAGAACCGCGTGTCAGCCGGTTCGCTGGCCGATTCGTTTCGCCGTGATGCTTCGAATGACAACGATTTCGAACGGAACGGTCGGACGTCAAGGAGAAACGCGCGGTTCGGAAGCGTGATCGTGACAGACGAGTGACGAAAATGCGGGGTTAGGAGTGCACCGCGAAAATAAAAGACGAAGTGTACCCCACTCCCCCCCCAAAAGGGGAGGGGAAAGAAGCCTTTTCGTAGCCAAATCGAGAGACAGAGAGGACACGGACGTGAACGAGGAAAGCGAAGTAACTCGCGACGAGGGCCTCCTCGCTGGCGACCCCCACCCCTACCGCCCCCCTCGAGGAGCCTGATTTTTTGGATACTTACCACGCTTACACGATAGTGCACGTAAGCGGAACAACAGTCATACATAGGCACACGCGCGCGCGAACGCAGGTACACGGGGCACGTACGTGCGAGCACACGAGCACTCACACACGCCAGCCATACGAACGAAGAAACCCACACCCACTTACTGCTTGGTGGGTAGGTAGGACGCGGCGACACGCTCGGGGATATATCACTCTGTCCGTTAAAATACGTACGCGACGTGATGCATACGCGCGTAACGAGTGCGAGAGATCGGCACGCGTTCGTTTGCCTAAGGTAAAGTCTCTCGGCGTCGATGTCGACGTGTGCGACGAGGAGGACAGCGGTGGAAGCGGCGGCGGCGGCAGCAGCACCAGCGGTGGTAGCAGCACCAGCGATTTAAGCCTCGTCTGCCACATGCAGCGAGTCTCCGATCTGGGATCGGCGACGAACGCGAGAAATACACCCGGGAGACGGTGATCGCGTACCTCGGTGGCCGCACATCGGTACTCGGTCGTGTATGGAGTCGCGAGCGCCTGCACCCCACTCTGTCTCTCGGTCGCTCGTTCTCTTTCTACTCCTCTCGCTCCCTCTCGCGCCTCTCTCCGTCACTGTCCCTCTTGTTCGTTCCTCGTCGCTCTCGCTGGGTGTCCGTCAGTAACCTAGAAAGCGGTGGCGGCGGCCATTCAGGATTACGGGACTCCGGTCCGTACGTCCGCCTTGTCCGAGCGACCGAGCGAGAGAACAAGACCCACCGTGCAGATACGCAACCCACGTCCCGTCCCGGCGAACGATATCCCACAATATTTCGTCCCTTTCTCGATCGTTCTCCTCACGGGCCGACGTATCCGTGAATTTTCATGCCGCACACGCACGCACGCACACACTCCCGGGGGGGGGCCAGGCGACGTTCGAAGACGCGACGACGTCGTGTTTGCTCGTCGGTCGTACAACCGAATAACCCGATCGACCCTCGAATCGTACAGAGGAACCACAAAATATACACTGTACTCCCTTTCGTACGCACGCACTGCTCACTAGCCGCGATCTCGCTCGGGAGAGCGCACCTTCGCCACGACAGATCGGCGAGAGCACTAGTACAGAACTATGGGTGTGCTTCTCTTGCCAGCGTACCGTCGTTCCGGCATACGCGATAGCCACGAGACCGGTCGACCCTCGAGACGAGCGACTTCAATACAAAATATATTTACCCATTTGTGACAGATTTTCCGTACGAGACGCACCACATTAACGACCGTCCCCCACCTATTATCACATACAGACATTACCACACTTCGATATTTCAAGATGGCGACGCGCCGTCGTCGGCCCGAAACACGACGCGGACGAACCGTAAAGCCGCGGCGCCACCGTCGCCGCCAATCATCGACACCCTGGCCGCGAGCGACGCGTTTACCCGCGAAATTCGAAACCGTACTCGGGCGTGTTGATAAAGGGTGACGTCTAGGAAAGAACATATCTTTTTTTGATAGTTTTCTAAGAATATTATTTGACGCACACTTCGATACAGCTTTGTAAAGCACATTCTAAAATTTCAGTTTAAAGTACAGGATACCTCTGCCGACGGACGTTTAATCGGTAGCAAAATATTTTTGTAACAGTTCCTCGTATATGTCTTTGTCGGATTTAAGAAACAGACAAAAGATAACTCTATCCACCTGCAAGTTTAAGAAATTCGTCAGTGTCCTGTGCCGCCATTCTCCGTGATCTGTACAACTATCAAACAAAATCTTACTGCGTCTTTGTTGTCGAGTAGGAACTTCTTAACCGTCGATAAAGCTACTTTGGCTGCTGGTCTTTGCGGATATCCATAAATTCCAGTCGAGATGCAAGGAAAAGCTATTGTGCGTAATTTATTCTCTTTGGCAATCCTGAGACTATTCTTGTAACAATCCCTCAACTTTTCTGGCTTTTCCCCTTGCGGACCAACCGTATGGATAACATCTAAAATATTACATCTATGAAAGCGCTGTCCCAAGCACGTTGTTGCGTATACTAACGCTTCGCAGGTAACATATAACCCCCGGTTATTCTAACTTCTCCGACAGGACATCCACCCAAAGTCGAACACTCTTTCTTTAAAGTTCGTCCCGCGGCTCTGTGAATAGCTCCGTCAACTGGCAAAGTTTTTATTTATCCTTTAGCAAAGTTACCTACTCCTTATTTCTATCGAACGTGTCTTATATACCTCCGCCACCACCGAGCAGACTCGAATTTGCAGCATTCACTATAGCATCTATCTCTAGAGACGTGATATCGCCTTGCCACATAGAAACTTTGTTAGCTATTTCCTCGTCGACTGGTTCGACCTTCTCGAGAGTCAACAGGCCGATATTGGTTTTATTCTTACGCCAGTACTCCGCCCATGTTGGAACTCTATCTAACGTGGTAACGCCTCCTTTATAATATTTCCTTTTCTCTGCTAACGGCATGGTCATGAATTTTTCTATGGACAATGATAATAAGCAATTTCTGCGTGGCCCTTCTCGCAACGATACAACGTGACGAGACTGAACGAAACTTGAGATAGAAACATATGGAACGTTCAACGATATCGTAAAAATACAAAGAAATCGTTTCGCCTTACGTTTTTCAGCTTCGAGCGACATTCTTCCTTCGGGAGTGAAAACTGTGGCAAAATTCATAACGAACAAAGGATTCTGAACGATTTGATATAGTACAGCTGCGACTGGTAAACGGTCGGCGAGCATCGCCTGTAAATCAGAAACAATTCTCTTCTCACTACGCAGTTCACTCGGCTCACGGTACCCTGTCTGCCCTTACTCTGAGAGCGAACATAATCTTCCACTCGAGAAATACGTTAACGACCTTTGACAATCACCGATTTTCGATTTTTCGAACGTGGAATCGGTTCGATCCGCGAATTTTCACGGTCACGCGTCCGACTCGGGCTTATACGCAGCAAAAATTCGAGGGAAACCCGCGTTGATTTACTCCTGCCTGTTGACCACGATCGTGACCGGCGAAAACGCGCAACCTCTTTGTTGATGGAGCAACGAGAGACGCGTGCAGACATCTAACGAGAAATCCTACCAACGATCGGATTCTTTTCTCGTACGTACGCGCCACCTACCGGGGATATGGTGTACTTCATTTGGGCTGAGACAATCCACATTTACGGAAGGTATTATTACTTGATCGTGTAATTGAGATACAGGGTGCACTTGGGGGATTCTAGAGGCCAAAACAAGACGAAAATCAAGAATTTGTCGATGGAGGCTTCGTTGAAAAGTTATTAACAGTTGCGCCTGTAGATAGGCAACCTGCGTATTGGTCCAACTGTTAATTACTTTTTAACGAAGCCTCAATCGACAAATTGGTATTCTTGATTTTTCACTTTCGTTTTTAACGGAATGCTTGGATATTAGTAGAAGTCCGGAACGACCGGAAACGTTACAAATGGATATTGTTAAGCTCGCGGGGGCGTTGTAGTGGGCGTTAACGAGGATATGCACTTGGTGGCTATCGTCCAACGAAAGTGAAATGTACGAACGCGAATTTAATCCAACTAGACCAAGGGTGCGGTTCGGTTTGGACGCTCACGCCACTATGAGCATTTATAGATATGCTAGGAACGGTTCATTTTGGTTAATTTGCAACAGCGCCAAAATGGAATTAATATACAGAAATTTTTCGAACCATATCTAGTTTTATTTCATTTCATAAATAGCTCGTAAAATTGATTTATCTTATTAATCGAAGCTAATATATGTTATGTGATACGACGTAACAATGACGTCATTATTACGCTTGCAAGCGCTTGCAGCGCCACAGCGAGCAACGTAAGCAACTTACGCGTCCAAACTAGACTCAACCTCAAATGTTATGCCCTCCAGCATTGTACTAATTATTGAAAACGATTATCGACCCTTTAAGTAGAACCATTTCCTTTACGACTTCCAAGGAACATTAACATTTGTGACAGAATCTAGATGTAACATTTACCTTTGGCTTATTTCGTTCGATCTCATTCTTACATCTGGTTACTTAAAGTTTCACGGAAAAATTCCACGTAACGACAACTTGAACTTTCCGTAAGACGCCCACGCGTTGCACCGATGCACCAAATCTGTCCACCCTGTGCCTTTTGATTCTATGCGGGGGTGGTCTCGCGTCGTCCCGTATTTCATGCACGACGCTTCCATTTGCAGCCTGAAAGATCGCTAGGCGATCGTTCGAACCTTCGAGAGGTATTATTGTAACGTCTTTACTATGCAAATTGGGTGAACGTGTACGAAATAGAGTAATTATCTCGAGGCTATTTTTAAACCTAACCACAAAATTATGTAAAAATACATGGACGAACAAAAATTAGAAAAAATTGAACGAATTTTTGTAACGAGATATGGTAAATATTGTTATACACGAATAGAAAACAAATAAAGCAAACAAAGTGTACTATTTTCATCAGAATGAAAAAGATAAAACATAATTTGATGAAATTTTTAAAGGAATGCAGATATTGTCACAATTTCTGAAGGCTATTTTTAAACCTAACCTCAAAATTATGTAAAAACAGTATCCATGGACGAAAAAAATTAGAAAAAGTTGAACGAATTTATTTTTATAACGAATTTTTGTAACGAAATATAGTAAATATTGTTATACACAAATAGAAAACAGATAAAACAAATAAAGTGTACCATTTTCATCAGTATAAAAAAGATAAAATATATTTTCATGAAATTTTTTAATTAGTGTCGATACTGTCACAATTTCTGGAGGCTATATTTAAACCTAACCTCAAAGTTTAGTAAAAATAGCATCCATGGACGAAAAATATTAGAAAAAATTGAACGAATTTTTATAACGAGATGTAGTAAATGTTGTTATACACTAATCGAAGAAAAATAAAACAAACAAACAATTAAAGTGTGCTGTTTTCATCAGAATAAAATATCTAAAATATAATTTGACGAAATTTTTAACTGAGCGTCGATATTGTCACAATTTCGTTTGCCTTCAGAGCTAAACAAATAGAATATTTAACGATATCAACTTTAGTCTGACAGGGGCTATAAACAGACATCTGCTTCACATGCACGCGAAATTTCAAATCGATCGGTTCCGTAATTCTCGAGATATCACGTCCCAAGAAACGTGTGGTTTTAGATACAACAGTATCGTGCTATGTGAAAAATATATTGTTGTTAAAGTGTGCTTATGTCCTTAGTTATATTACTGGCATAATGTTGTATTGATTTTTATTTTTTTTTATACCCCACAATTTCAACAATATCGTTAGAACTGGGCAAGAAAAAATAAAAATATAAAGCGTGGGTGGAAATGCATTCTCATGGGAATTAACCATTGTTTTATCACGTAAATCACTCCGGTACATATATTATGATAATATTTAACATTCGAGTAATTGCTTTGTTTCTCAATACAATGGAATTAATTTGATATCTTCGTAAACAAAACAAAATGTATTTGTTTGTTATAATTTATTTACTTGTTAAACCAGATAAAAGGGGATGATATAACAATAAAATTAAATAATAATAAAATTAAGTAACAATGAAATTAAATAATAATAAAATTAAATAACAATAAAATTAAATAATAAAAAAATGAAATAACAATGAAATTAAATAGTAATTAAATTAAATAATAATAAAATTAAATAACAATAAAATTAAATAATAATAAAATTAAATAACAATGAAATTAAATAATAATACAATTAAATAACAATAAAATTAATTAATATAAAAATTAAACAATAATAAAATTAAATAACAATGAAATGAAATAATTAAAAAATTAAATAATAATAAAATTAAATAACAATGAAATTAAATAATAATACAATTAAATAACAATAAAATTACATAATAATAAAATTAAATAACAATGAAATTAAATAATAATAAAATTAAATAACAATGAAATTAAATAATAATAAAATTAAATAATATAAAAATTAAATAATAATAACCAAAATCTAATATTATTAGTTACGATGAATTTGTTTAAAAATAAATTTACTTATTTCAGAGAAAGATTCATAAATTTTCCAACATTATTATTGAAACAAAGTAAACTATATGCATTCTGAACACGCGAATAAAAATAATATAAACAGAATTACATTTCTGGAATATCGTGGAAACTGCATGCAAAGTTTCCAGCAGTATCACAGCAATATTGTCTGAAATATTACAGAGACGTCGTTGAACAATGGCGGCCATGGACACGTTCCAGCGATATTTCAGAAATATTCCGCCAAATATTTCGAATCTAGGACGAAAACGTTATTGCGATATGGGGATACACGAATATAACGGATGTTAACGATAAAAAGAGAAACTTGCGTTAACGAGCAAGAAATTATCGACTTTACTCATAAAAAAAAAAAAAAAATGCAAAAACTTGGGAACCACTGCAGTCAGTAATTGTATGACGACAGTTTGGGTTACGACTCATTCGATTCTCACCCCTCCAAGCCATGACGTACCTTTTGAGTGGGTGGAATGTTCAATAATTATGACGTTATTAAGGGTGGGCAGTTGTTACAACAAAGAACAAAGCATCAAGTATGCAATTGCTTCTCAACATCAGTGTGCTTCAATTCTTTTAGGAGGTCTTACTTTATCATTAGTTGATTAAAGCACGTATTAAAAAAAAAAATTGCAATTATACATGTTATCTTATATTGCAAAATTTTTTGGACTAAATTGTATCTGTCGAGCATAAATAACGATTATTATTGTTTAGATTAATTTAATTAAGATTGTAAAATTTTTTAGATTACCCCAATAATTTTATAAGTGGAGTTGTCAGAAAAAATGTTAAAATTATGCAGGGTGTACGGCCACCCCTGGGAAAAATTTTAATGAGGGATTCTAGAGGCCAAAATAAGACGAAAATCAAGAATACCAATTTGTTGATGGAGGCTTCGTTAAAAAGTTATTAACGTTTAAAGTTACGCTTGTGAGACCCTGGCGCACGCAGCTGTACGCAGGTTGCCTATCTACAGGCGGAACTTTAAACATTAATATCTTTTTAACGAAGCCTCCATCGACAAATTGGTATTCTTGATTTTCGTCTTATTTTGGTCTCTAGAATCCCCTATTACAATTTTTCTCAGGGGTGGTCGAACACCCTGTATATGTTCACCTATATTACTAATTATCTTTCGCTACTTTCAAGATTTTACATCCTCTAATAATTGAAATTACATTTTATTACAATTTAAACCAAATAAATGAAGACTGCTAAATTTTTTGATCCACCCCAATAATTTTATTGAGGGGGTTGTAAGAAATAAATACAATCTTTCAACCATAAGTAACAATTATTAAAATTTAGATTAAATAAATCAAGATTGTAAAATATTTTGAACTACCCCCAATAATTTCATAAGAGGGGTTGTTAGAAAAAATGTTAAAGCCATATATATTTACCTATATTACACTAATTTTCTTTCACTATTTTTAAGATGCTGCACCCTCTAATAATTGTAATTACATTTTGTTAAAATTTAGATCAAATAAATCAAGACTGTAAAATATTTTTCACCACCCCCAATAATTTCATAAGAGGGGTTGTTAGAAAAAATGTTAAAGCCATATATATATTTACCTATATTACACTAATTTTCTTTCACTATTTTTAAGATGCTGCACCCCCTAATAATTGTAATTACATTTTGCTAAAATTCATACCAAATAAGTCAAGCCCAATCTTCTGCATCACCCCAATAATTTTATAAAAATAGTTACAAGAAAGTAACCGTAAGTAACAAATTTCCATCCCCTGATAACCAAAAGATCGTTCGATTTCCCCGATCACATCCAAGATGTACTCCATCGCCGACCAACGAGACCGGAAGTCGATCTAATCCCAGCGTGTAAAATCCGTGGAATCAATTCCAGGACGTTCGATCTTATCAATGGTGAGATCAGTGCGCGAAGGCCGTTCATTCAGAGCGGACCGGTGGTTCGATTGCGGGAAAGGGTCGGCCGTATTCCGGCGCATCGGGTTGAATGAAGAGGAACGCCGACGCCCGACGTCACCGGCAGCGCCACCGCGCGGGGAACCGCGGCACCAACCGACGGAGAGCCCCCTTTCCGTGCTTCGCCACGCACGCATATATAGAAAGGCATCGCAGCGCATGCTGAAAGCTTCTATCGATCCGTCTGCGCCCCGAGCTTACTCGCTCGTCTCACAAGCTTCGCGAACGCCGCCTGGGTAGAATCGTCTCGCGACCAGGCGTATTTTTCCTTTCACCCTATCAACCTTTCGTCGTGAATTCCCGAGCCAAACAGCCAGGCGACAAAACCAGCGATGGCGCGGCGCGTGGACCACACCAAGGCCCTCTTCGTACTGTGTGAGTTCCTTTCCGTTGAATCCTCGACTCTGTGGTGTAATAACTCCACCGCGACAGGACAGTGCTTTCGTTGGAAGGTTGCGGGGGGTTACCCTTGGGTTTAAATTGTGGATCCCCGAAAATGTGTTAAACAGAGTAAAAATTGAACGAGATATTTTTTATAATCTTCCTGATAAAATTCGGAGGCCATGACCGTAACTCTGGCGAACACACGATGTCGCAACGCGTTTTAACGATCGAGCAGGTCATCCCGTTCCTAGGGTTCGATTTTATAAATGCGAATCATTTTTTTTCCCCAAAAGTCGCTATTTCCATTCGAAAAATTCGGAAAATTAAAGTGGACGTCGTCTCGATAATTGTTTTTGTTAATAATTTCTCTAGTCGCTGTTTCCATTCCAAAAATTCGATATAAAGAAAAAAATTAGAATGTACACTGTCTAAATCAGAATAAAAAATATATCGTAATTATTTTTGATAATAATTTCTCTAGTCACTGTTTTCCATTCAAAAAATTCCAAAAATCAAAAAAAAAGAAATTAAAGTGTACACTGTCTCCATCAGAATAAAAAATTCATGTCATTATTTTTTTTTGATAATAATTTCCATAGTTGTTGTTTCCATTTGAAAGATTCCAAAAATCAAAAACCAGAAACCAAAAAAAAAAAATTAAAGTGTACACTACATATCGTAATTATTTTTTATAATAATTTCTCTAGTCACTGTTTTCCATTCAAAAAATTCCAAAAACCAAAAAAAAAAAAAATTAAAGTGTACACTGTCGCCATCAAAATGAAAAATATATCGCAATTATTTTTGAAAATAATTTCTTTAGTCTTTGTTTCCATTTGAAAAAATTCCGTGACCGGTACTCGCGTGACATATCTGCGGATGCCCTGCAGAGACAGTTGTCCTTAATATTGTCGCGCGATAGCGTGGGGTACAGCGACATTTCGAAGGAGTCAACCACCTCGCGAACGCTTTCGGTTCAAAGGACCTGTTTGACGAAACGTATTTGCATAAAATAGCGTGTTACTAGGAGAATTGTTTAAGGGATGATTTTTTTTTTCTTAGGGTGTGTCTTGAGCACGGCGTTCAGCGTCCCCAGCCCCTCGACGGCGCCTCAAAAGGTGGACGAGCATCTCTACACGACACGCAGAACGCCTAGGGTCATCTTCGATTTGCCTGTTCCCAATTCCAAGCTACCCCTGGTAAGAGGAATGTTCCAACCCCCCTCTGGGAACGTAAACAGAGAGTTTCGTGGAAAGGAATTACGCAAGGGATGATAGGGATGTAGTTTCGTGACGAAGTTGAATATTTAATACTGGTTGGGTGGTTTTTTCGCGATCGATACACGAATCGGAAGTAGTAAACGCGTTGTAACGTATGTGGGGAACAATTATGTAAATGGAGATTCGTAGGATGTGACCTTTCCGGTTGTCGAGGGAGGGGACGCGGCGTGTCGGTGTTATCGGTGGGTGGTAACTGGGGAAGAACCGGTTCGAGTCTCGACGATCGAAATTGTATCGTGAAACGAGACATTGTTTTATGACAAAGTCCTTTGCAATTTTGTTGCACGTGTTATAAATAATATAACTATATCATGGCTCGATTTTTTTCCTGGGGGTTGTTTTTATTGTCTTAAATTTCCTCTGGTATCATAAAAAGAATCTCCAAGAATTTTTAAATTGATATTTCAGGAAACTAAAAGTTTTTTAAACCATGTTTGATTTTTTAATTTTGAGTTTCTATAATAATTCTTAATTTGTCTGATTTCAATATTTTCCTAGGGGTTGCGTCTATTAATTTACATTTCTGGTATTTTAAAAAAGGATCCAAGAATTTTCACATTGATTTTTCTCCAAACCAAAGTTTTGTTAAACCATTTTTGAGTTTTTAATTTTGAGTTTTTACAATAATTCTTAATCCATTTAACTTGAATTTTTTTCCTTTGTTGTGATTATCTCTATTGATTTATACTTCTGATATTTACAAAAAAAGGTTTTAAAAATTTTCAACCTAATTTTTCTAGAAATCGAATTTTTTCAAAATGATCTGCACAAAACATTGAACGATCTTTACAAAAAACAGTTGAGATTTGTGTGTTGTTTGAAATATTACGGAAATCCGGTGTAAATCGTTTGTCTAAATTGGGTTACAATTAAAATCACTTTGAAAATACCGGTTCACGTTTCGCGGACTGCACGATTTGTGTTCGAGATAGTTTGGTAAATATAGAGACGAAAACGATGCATTTAAAGTCCGATAAGGTCGTGGCTTGATACACGATCCCGGTCGATAAGTATTTTAGAGCATGCGTTAAGTACAGCCTGTTGCTCGTCGAGCATTTCCATACGCTATCTCAATTGCATAGAGCAAATGCAACCTCGATACTTGCACGCGAACCTCGTTTCTGGCTTCCTATTGACAAATGGAATGCTCATTTAACAGTGTGTATACACTATACCAAACTTGCAAAAGCAAACTTTGAAGCTTAAGCAAATACAGTTTTGCAAATTGACTTTGGTTATTCAAGATATTCAAAATCTAGTCGAGGATATATAGGGTGTCCAAAAAGGTTCAGACCAAAATTTCAAAACTAAACTCACAAAAGCAAACTTTAAACCTGAACAAACACAGTTCTGTAAATTAATTTTTCGTTATTAAAGATATTAAAATTGTAATATAGTCGAGGATATTATAGGGTGTCCAAAATGGTTGGGACCAAACCTCGAAATTAAACACACAAAAGCAAATTTTAAAACATAAAGAAACAATTTTTTCAAATTAATTTTTCATTATTACAGATTTTAAAATTGTAGTCGGGGACGCTATATAGGGCGTTCAAAAAGATTGAGACCAAACTTCGAAACTAAACTCACAAAACCAAGCTTTGAAAGAAACACAGTTTTGCAAATTAACTTTTTGTTATTTAAGATATTAAAATTGTAATATAGTCGAGGATATACAGGGGGTCCAAAAAGGTTGAGACCAAAATTTCAAAACTAAACTCACAAAACCAAGCTTTGAAAGAAACACAGTTTTGCAAATTAACTTTTTGTTATTTAAGATATTAAAATTGTAATATAGTCGAGGATATACAGGGTGTCCAAAAAGGTTGGGACCAAACTTCAAAACTGAACTCACAAAAGCAAACTTTGAAGCTTAAGCAAATACAGTCTTGCAAATTGACTTTGGTTATTCAAGATATTCGAAATCTAGTCGAGGATATATAGGGTGACCAAAAAGGTTGGGACCAAACTTCAAAACTGAACTCACAAAAGCAAACTTTAAAACCTAAGCAAACACAGTTCTGTAAATTAACTTTTCGTTATTTAAGATATTAAAATTGTAATATAGTCGAGGATATATAGGGTGTCTAAAAAGTTTGGGACCAAACTTTGAAACTGACGTCAGAAAAGCAAACACAGTTCTGTAAATTAATTTGTCGTTATTAAAGATATAAAAATTATAGTCAAGGACTTTACATAGGGTGTCCATAATGGTTGGGACCAAACTCACAAAAGCAAGTTTTAAAACCTAAAGAAGCACAGTTTTGCAAATTAATTTGTCGTTATTAAAGATATTAAAATTGTAGTTGCGGACTCTTGCGTTATACAGGGTGTCCAAAAAAGTTAGGATCAAACTTACACTACGAATTACTGATACCAAATAGATGAAAAAAGTTCCTATAAACTTATGCCCGAAAATGCTTTATTCAAAAGATATAAGCGTTCAACAATTCATGGGAAAAATTCGTTTTTATTTATGGGATTACGCAAAAAAATTGATTCAGGAAAATATGATAGAAAAAGATCAACTTTGGGAATGTATCCAAAATGCATTTACCATTACCTAATCCAGACCTAACTCAACCTTTTTGGACACCCTGTATATAAGTATGTATATGTATATACACATATAGAAAGAAAAGCTTGTCGATTAATTTGTAAAAATTGACTCAGTCCTAACCTAAACTTTTTGGACACCCTGTATGTATATTGTACAAGAATAGACCTAACACAACCTTTATGGACACCCTGTATATAAGTAATTAGTGTACATATATATAGAAAGAAAAACTTGTCGATTAATTTGTAAAAATTAACCCAGACTTAACTCAACCATTTTGGACACCCTGTATGTATATTGTATAAGAATCTAAAAAACCCAAACTTTATGGACACCCTGTATATAAGTAATTAGTGTATATATTTATAGAAAGGAAAACTTGTCGATTAATTTGTAAAAATTAACGCAGACCTAACTCAACCTTTTTGGACACTCTGTATATGTATATTACATATTGTATAAGAACTGACCGTCTTTGTTGTTTGGACAGTCGTGTTTTTAACGTGAATAATATTTCGAAGCAAGCAGTGAACTTCGAAGTATGGAGCACAACAACGATACCTGCACAGTCGACGGCGACAACGACGACGACAACGACGACGACGACGACGACGACGTCCACGTCGACGCACAGAGCCTTCTCCACGGAGCAACCCTTGTACCGATTGGACGGCAGCAACGGCCAAGCATGCATTCTCCTGCAGGTGGACGCTCTGATCACGGTGAAATATCGAACGAAACTCGGGGAAGATCAAGTAAGAATGCTCGTTTGTAAACCAAACATGGCCGAATTAAAGATTCTCAAGTGACAAACTACGGTTGCTCGAAAAATCTTTTAACACTAGAACTACTCGACAAATATAGTGTATTTATTTTTACCAAAGAAACTAACACGACAGATACGTGGAAAAATATATAATGCAATGGAAATGTTTATTTATAATTTTTGTAGAAAATATTCAAAAATTCAGATAAGTAAATTTTTTAGAAATTTTATTGGAAATTACGAATGTAAATTACGTTATTTTGACTGCCTTGGAGAAATGTATAATGGAATGAAAATGTTTATTCATTCTTTTATGGAAAATTAAATTTTCAAAAATTCAGTCGCATAAATTTTTTACAAATTTTATTTAAAATTACGAATGGGTTATTTTAATTGCTTTGAAGAAATGTATAATACAATGAAAATAAAGTGTTTAATTATACCTTACCCAAAATTAAAATTTCAAAAGTTCAGATAAGTAAATTTTTTACAAATTTTTTTAGAAATTTCGTATGAGTCATTTTGACTGATTGGAAGAAATGTATTATACAATGAAAATAACGTGTTTAATTACACTCTTATACAAAATTAAAATTTCAAAAATTCAGATTAGTAAATTTTTTACAAAAAAAACTACAAATGGTTAATTTCGACTGTTTTGATAGTTCTAGTGTTAATGTTTTCGTTCCTAAATCAGCAAAAATATATTTAAATATCCGAAAGCCTGCAACCACCCCTAATCACGAGTCTTAATTCGTGCCTGATTCGAAACGAAACAGTTCGTGCACAGTCTGAGTAAACGTTTATTGCAGGAATCGAACATTTACGTTCCCAACGATGCCAAGGTGACCGGAAACTGCGACAGCGAGAACACGGTATCGATGTCTCTGAAGTGGAATGCGTTCGTACTGTTGTGGAGCTTCGCCAAGGTACGATACAATTAATGGACGAGCGAGAAACGTGATTTTCCAACGGTTTACGTCTTCCACGGGCGCGATCGGGGTCACGAAAGCTGCGTCGTTGCGTTCGACTTGCACACGAAACGCTCGTTTCGAAGAGAAATCGATACCAGCCGGCCCTTTTCTCTACGATTCACGTTGAATTCGATGTACAGTTACATTTTCCATTCCGACGTTCGCGTGGCGAGGGATCCTTGCGACAATTTGCTCGTCCGACCTGCGCGCCATCTGTTTTGTTCGCGATTAACACGAGCACTGGAATTACTGTTCGTTTAATGGCCGCGGAACACGATTAGATCTTCGCGAACAAGGGTTTATAGCGTTTAGATGTTGGAAAACAAACATTTTAATTTTGAGTGATTATTGTGATGATTATAAGGGGGTTGTTTTAAATGTTTGGGGGAAAAGAAAGATGGAGGGTTATGTAGAATTCATTCAAAAAATTTTCGATTGTTTAATGGCTTTGATAAAATTTTGGAATATAGTCGATGGTATGGACAATTTTTTCACAGCGAGATAAATTTTGATGGGTGTTGTTTGAACAGTTTGGTGAAAGAGGAAAATGGAGGGTTGCTTACTAATTTCAAAAAAATTTTGAATTTTTTAAAATCATAGAAAATGTGGGTTTAGTACAGTTTTGGAAAATGATTATTGTGGCATTGAAAATTTCTTCCCTGAGAGTTAAATTAATTTAATTAAATTTTTACAAGAGTTGTTTTGAAAAATTTGATCAAAAAAAGACAGATGGAGGGTTGCTTACTAGAATCATAAAGACTTCGATTTTTTAATGGCTTCGAAAATTTCTTTCCAATGAGTTATATTTTTACGGGGGTTGTTTGAAAAATTTGGTCAAAAATGAAGATGCAAAGCTGTGCATTGGATTCAAAAAGTTTTCAAATTTTTAAAATCATGAAAACAAACTTTAATTCTGGGTGATTATTGTGGTGATTATAAGGGGGTTGTTTTAAATGTTTGGGGGAAAAGAAAGATGGAAGGTTATGTGCAATTGATTCAACAAATTTTCGATTTTTTAATGGCTTTGGAAATGTGGGTTTGATAAAATTTTGGAAAATAATCGATGATATGGAAAATTTTTTCACAGCGAGATAATTTTTGATGGGGGTTGTTTGAAAAACTTGGCAAATCACTGAGATGGAGGGTTGTGTGTACTGGATTCAAAAAATTTTCAAATTTTTAAAATCATAGAAAATGTAGGTTAAGTAATATTTTGGAAAATGGTTATCGATGGTATAAATTTTTAAGGGTGGTTGAGGAATTGATTCGAAGCTGTTTCTTTTCAATTTGATCACTTTTTTTTAAAATCAAATTTGAATTTATATTTTTTAAAATAAACTACCCCCAACAATGCTTGAATCCAACCATATTCGTGCAATTCTGGCATAAATTGTTAAGGGTGAATAAGGAATCGATTCGAATTTATTTCTTCCAAATTTGATCATTCTTTTTTAAATCAAATTTGAATTTATATTTTTTTAAATAAACTACCCTCAACAATGCTTGAATCCAACCATATTCATGCAATTCTGGCATAAATTTTCAAGGGTGAATGAAGAATCGATTCGAATTTATTTTGATCATTCTTTTTTATATCAAATTTGAATTTATATTTTTTTAAATAAACTATCCCCTTAATGGATAAATTCAACCATATTCACGCAATTTTGCCATGAACTTTTAAGGGTCGAGGAGGAGTCAATTTGAATTTATTTCTTCTAAATTTGATAATTCTTTTTTAAACCAAATTTGAATTTATATTTTTTTAAATAAACTACCCCCCTTAATGGACGATTAAGCAACCATATTCATGCAATTCTGCCATAAACTTTTAAGTGTGGACGAGGAGTGGATTCGGATTTATTTCTTCTAAAATCATTATTTTTAAAATCAAATTTGAATTTACATTTTTTAAAATAAACTACCCCCTTGATGGACGAATCCAACCATATTCGTGCAATTCTACAACTGCGACGATCGATTCGTAGAACGTTATCCTGGCAAAGAAGAAGCATTTCGTAGCAAATGTGGAAGCGATCGATTCAGATAGCTATCAAACGCGAACCAAGCCTCGTATCTGACTGAAACTTTGTCAGCTTTATTATGAAGAATGATTCTCAACAGTCATACAAGCAAAGATACAAAGATACAAGCTAACGCATTTTAGCACCATTCGTGGAAATTTACCACACTTTTCAAACAAACCTCCTATTAAAACATTTCATAAGTATCAACATATACAGTACATACAGGGTGTTCAACCACTCCTGGGAAAAATTTTAATGGGGGATTCTAGAGGCCAAAATAAGACGAAAATCAAGGATACTAATTTCTTTATTGAGGCTTCGTTAAAAAGTTATTAACGTTTAAAGTTGCGAATGTAGAACGGTAATCTGCGAACAGCTGCGCACGCGCGACAGTGCGCCGTTCTACAGACGGAACATTAAACATTAATATCTTTTTAACGAAGCCTCAATCGACAAATTGGTATTCTTGATTTTCGTCTTATTTTGGCCGCTAGAATCCCCCATTAAAATTTTTCAGGGGGTTGTCGAACACCCTGCATATTTAATTTATTACTAATATAAATTTTTATATCAGTACTTTTATATTATTTAATTTTTGCATATTAAATTTAACATGAATATAATTTTCCAATGAATAATTAAAACTTCCAGACACCTGGTGGGGAACGATGGTACGTCGAGAAGATCGAGCTGACCTACAATTCGAGTGATAGACACTTCGAGCACATCGACGAGCCCAGTGAGTACTGTCCTTCGCGAAATTTCCACGTTCGTGCAATAATTTTGGATCGATTCTAATTCCGTTTCTATTAAAGACAAGACAATCAGGCTGAGTACCGGGCAAAAGCACGCTTCCATGCTGTTCCCGACGCCTGTTGGGAAGTCGTACTCCTGTACTGGGGAGACGCAGATCAATCTGACCGATGGCAAGCATTTCGCCAGCGTTTTACTCAGGTATTTCGCTCGAAATCTCAATTTCTTCACATTTTTAAAATTTGATCTTTATAAATTTTTGCAAATTCTAAATTTTTACAAATAATTTTTAAAAGTATAAAATTTAGTTTTGTTTAACTTTTTTTAACTGACTTGAAAAATTTTCAAAAAATGTATTCAAAACTGGGATTTTATATGTGGTGATACAAACTTATTATTATCGACGAACGATTCAATTACAAATAATTTTTTTTAAGTTTGTACTATCATACATGAACCATTTTTGAATGTATTTTTTGAGAAATTTTTTTTTAAAAATGAGCTAATAATTTTTGTAAATCATTTTTGCTTACAAATAAATAAATTTTAAATCAAATTTTGATGGATGTTATACAGTCTAAGAATTTATTTTAATAAAATAGTCTCTTGTATTTAACTTTGGGATAAATTTGGCAAAAAAAATTTGTAAATGCTCGCAAATTAAAAATTTTTCTTTTCAGTCAGAAGTCGCATAAATAATCTTTTATAATTTACCAGAAACGAGTGAATAATTTTTGTATATTATTCTTGCCCTCAAATAAACAAATTTTAAATAAAATTGTAATAATTATAACATTTTTGTATTTAACTTATTTATTTGTATTTTGTATTTATTTGGGGTCCAGAATGATTTACAAAAATTATTAGTTCGTTTCAGGTAAATTATAAAAGATTGTTTATGCGACTTCTGACTAAAAAAACAAATTTTTAAATTGCGAGCATTTTTAAATTTTTGTTGCTATATTTCCTAAAGTGGTATCCCAAAGTTAAATACAAGAGACTATTTTATTAAAATAAATCCTTAGACTGTATAATATCCATCAAAATTTGATTTCAAATTTATTTATTTAGGAACATGAATGATTTACAAAAATTATTAGCTCGTTTCAGGCAGATTATAAAAGATTGTTTTTAAAAAATTGAAAACTTTTTGAATCTAGTGCACAATTTTTTTACTGCTTTACCAAATTTTTCGAACAACCCCCTTAAAAATTTAGCTGCCTGGGAAGAAATTTTCAATGCCAGAAAAATAATTTTCCAAAATTGTACTAAACCTACATTTTCTATGGTTTTAAAAAATTGAAAACTTTTCGAATCCAGTGCACAGCTCTGCATCTTATTTTTTTGCCAAGTTTTTCAAACAACTCTCGTAAAAATTTAACCCGTTGGGAAGAAATTGTAACAGAAATTGTTACGTTCCAAAATTTTTTCTCAATCGAGGATTTTTTAGTGTTTCGATTGCTCAAGGATGCATCTAAAATTTCAGAGACATGAAGCTGCAGCCGTTCAAGTTTAAGAACAACGAGTTCGCCGTGGAGTTCTCGTGCACGTCGCTGAGCGCGCGCGGTTTCCGGGACGAAACAGCTCCGGTTGCAGTTGGCTCGACACTAGCAGCCGCCGTGCTGCTAACCATCACCGGCTACGCGGCCTATCGCTACTTCAAAGTGAAGAAAGTCAAGTACGACACCATGGAATAAATCGTCCTCGAACAAAATCCAACAAAAAAAAAAAAAAAAAAAAAACTCGCGAAAAACCAGCTCCTAGGACGAACCCTTTCCTACGACATATCTCCGTCGTCGCGTCGATTTTTTTCCTCGACCTACGATACATAACAATCGCGATTAGATCGTGAACGAACCTCGTCCTAGGATTTTCGAAAAAAAAAAAAGAAAAAAAAAAAATTGCAAAATACGCGAAGTTTGTAATTCGCCCGAGGAGCGGGGAGAGACTACGCCCATTTTTCATCGACCCGTAGGATAACCTTGATTATCGAATTTGTTCCAACGTTACGTTCGCGCGTCGTCCATCTTTCAAAATTTCTAGAGATCGCACCGGAGACTTTGCATTTTGGATTTTTGAATTTGTGGGGATCGAATGAACTTGGATTCAACGCTTTTGGTGACCTTGGTTTTTCAATGATTGTGGTGGACGCCTATGGCTGTCAACAAACACTAAAATTTGGTAATTTCGAGACCAACGTATAGCGATTTATCAAATTTTGAAATTTTGATTGAAAATTTTATTGGAACAATACTCAAATATTAAATTTATCTGTGACGTATATTCGTTCGAACAATTATATTTTCACACGTTCACCAACATTCTAAAATTTGACTTTTGAAAATTTTTTTGAAAATCAAATTAATAAATATTTATTAATCTACAGATAGTAAGTCTAATGTATTGAGGTCATATATTTATATACAAATTATTAGCATGATGAATCAAAAGGGTGGAATCCATCGTTCGAAATCCAACAACAATGGCGTAAACGTCACAGTAGTCGCAAGCTCTGATGGTTGTATCGATAGCTTTTTGATTCGTGGGCGTCGATTCACGTATTTCTAACACGATCTAGAGAAATCGTTAGTCCCTTATAAAACACTATACACGGAGAGCCAAGCGTAAAAAAAAAATTCTACGTTTTTTTCCACGCTGTCAAATTTGAATTTACCGCCTTTTGCAAATTTCTTCCATCGGGGGTTACGAGACGCCCCAGTTTGCTTAAAGTTTTCGCGAAGCATATCTTTGATCACTGATCGCATATCAAGCATTGTATTTCACTATGCATCGTAACGTTTTTTTTTTTCGCGTGCTTCCTTTTCGCTGGGTTAAAAGAATCACCCGTTGGACGCCTCCGTGACCCCGGAAACGAGAAGCCCTGTCAGGCAGCTGAGAATTTTAGAACGAAATCCTAATCTTATGCTTCGAATAGTTCCCGCCCTTAAGGGGGGATTCCCCTGTAACAGGGTTAAAATTAAAATTCTCTTTTTTATTTTTTTCGAAAAGAATTAAACGTTCTATTGTATTAGACTTTCAGGAACACGAAGAGAGACTGTTAAACTGTACGAAAATATTTTTTTCGTCCATTTTTTATTATCTTTTATCAAATACTAATTAAGTCAAATGTGGTGAGAATATCACCAATGTATTGGAGAGATTCTCCCGATTAAAACGAGTCCAAACACGACCTGGTTTGGACTACTTTTTATTTTGACCCAAACTCATTTTTGAAAAATTCTCAATTTTTGAATAACTAAAAATTGTCCGATTGGTGTCGTGTTTGGACTCGTTCTCATCGGGAGAATCCTGCCAATATATTGGTAATAGTGCCGTGAAGATAAAAGAATCAAGTGTGACAATTTTTCCAGAAGAGGGTGATGAAATTTTCAATTTTTATACTTGTATCCTCGTGAGAGTATCATCAATATATTAACAAGATTCTCCCGATTGAAACGAGTCCAAACACGACCTGGTTTTGACTACTTTTAATTTTGACTTACTCAAACTCATTTTTGAAAAATTCTCAATTTTGAATAACTAAAAATTGTCCGAATGGTGTCGTGTTTGGACTCGTTTTCATCGGGAGAATCTCGCCAATCTCATTTTGCAACGTACGACAGGATTAAAATTCTTAACTTCAATTTAATAAAAAATAATAAGAAATGGATCAAAAAAAATATTTTCCTATAGTTTAAGGGTCTCTCACCACGTTTCTAAAAATTCAGCACGATAGAACGTTTAATTCTACACAAAAAAAAATTAAAAAAAAAAAATTTATTTAAACGCTGTTACACGATAATCCCCCCTTAAACGTGTAAATAATGTATTCAGCGATCGTTGTCGAGTCTATCAATTTTTCCGTTTCACAAATCGACGAACAATGTACAAGAACGCCTCTGACTACGTATAAATATCGAATCGACCAACGTGCGCGTGATCAAAGCTGAAACATAGTGTCCTGTCGTTAAATTGTTTTAAAAAGAGAATTGTATAATTTTTAGATCGTCGTTTGGGTCCTGTGTCCGCGTAACGATCGCTAGACTAGATCGTTTCGTTTTTATCCTCTGATTCTCGATGTAACATATCGTGTAAATATGTTAAGAGGGCGATCGACGAAGCTGGCGAACTGGGATCAGTCGATATTTTTTACGATCGGAACCACCTCTCGCCACGAAGTGGACATTCGACGCTTAAAAGAGTATTTGGGTTTCTCGTCCGTCGGCCATTTTCTAACATCCGCCAGAGATTCGCGAGCTTCGACGATCGCGCGAAACTTTTCGAAGATTCTTTAATATGTCGCGTGCATTCATTATTAGTCGATGGATAGTTCCATTTCAACGATATATTAGCGTGTAAAGTCGTTTTTGGGGGCGTATCGAGCCGAATGGCGGCTCGTTGTCCACACCAGGACATTGGAAAATCGTCGCTGTCGATCTTTAATTACTCTTGTATCGAGATTACGTGGGTTCGAAGTCGAGAAACTTGTCTCTGACGAGGGATCCCTCAGGTTTCCCCAATTTTTTTATTCATAAATTAATTTACAAAATATACTTCCATCGTGTTTTCAAATAAACATTGTTAAAGTTGAACTTGGACTCTACCAAACAATTTTGGAACATTATTTAAATTCGTTAATATTTATCAGCACAATTTTGGATGGTAAACATATTTCACAAAAGTCACAATTCTTGCAATGTTATTTTTTTTAACAATAAAATGAAACCTCCAAAATACGAGAAACGGTAGATAAATAAAAGATGGAGAACCTAAAAAAATGGTTAATATAAAGCCAAGAATCGAACCGCTTAAATTTAGTTAAACCTCGCGAGCAATTACCACTTTACCGACCGTTGGTGGTTACCGACCGGTGGTGATTACCGACAAAGAGCCGATCAACAGACTGTCAGTCGGTAAAAGTAGATTAATACCGGTCGGTAAAGTGTTGAAAAAGTTATGTAATACAAAAATTTAGGGGCAAAAACCGAGGTTTCCCTCGTGGAGTGTAACGTCGAAGAAAAAAAAAAAATCTTCGAACGATCAGCGAATCCACGCTGGATATACATATTGTAGTTATAGTTAAGGAGCAATGGCGTACCTAAGTGTTAACCGTACGCGCGTGCACGCATAACGCGACGCGCATAAAAATTTATAAAATTATCGATATGTGCGTAACATATGACCTCTGTCTTCCAAGTGCATATTAAAGTTGAAACTTCGTGTGTAAATATATAAATACATACATGCATAAATGCATATATATAATATATACGTATTATGGGTATATCGTGTATCGTGTTTCTGTGACGACGATCGGGGCGTGTCTGCGTCGGCAGAAACCCGGTGTGGAATGTGTTTCCCTTTTCGCGCGATTCGAGGAATTCGTGAGGCGTGCGCCGCGGCGTACACAAACGTACCGACGAGAAACGAAACAGATTAATTTAACGCTACGCCGCTATTATATCAAACGGAGATGGTCTATAGATGTAATTTACGAAGATGTATTTTTGTGCTAAAGGCAATCTTATCATAGACATTATCGACGGCTAGGGGGGGTGGGGGGGGGGAGGGGGGTTGTTGGGCCGTTGTTTGTCCTACCATCAGAACGACGCGATCGAAAACGAAATTTCGCGCGCAACACACGTTGGCTGCCCAGTGACCCATATACGGGTCACGGCTTGGATTTCAACGTGCTTTTGCAGAATGGTTGCAGGGCGATCCCTTTTGATGTATGTAAAATATTGGGTGCGTATAGTTAACACTTTTCAAGATATTAGTAATTAAAGTGTGACTATAAAGTGACCATTCTCAAAATGTCTTGTGAAATTTAATATTAATTGAGTTTGCAAGTTTTTATGTGGTTTTGTGTTGGAGAAAAATATGATTATGACATTCACAAATTCAGATGCAATTCTTCTAATTGCTACACTATTCCAACATCAATGAACTTCTACTTTCGGTACATATATTCTTTAAATGCAGAAATAAGCAAAAACTAATGAACTGAATTAACATTAAATTTTACTGGACATTCTGTAAATAGTCGATGGGATTATGTGTACAGAGTTGACTTATAATTGTTTAATTTTAATTATTTATACCTGAAAAACTATTGAATATCTACAGTTAATAGTACTATAATTTTGCAAAAGAGCAGTAAAATCTATATCTGCAAATAATGTGTTAAAAAAAGGGAATTTTCAATTCGTAATTTTGAATTCATAAACAAAATTAATTTTTGATAGTCAATGTGTGATCGACGTGAAAGTGATCCGTAACTTTGCAGCGTTCCAAACAAAGTCGTGGGTGAATTTTTACAGGCGAAAAAGCTAGGAAGAGAGCTGGTGGAGGGGCGTGTCCAAAAGTGTCGAGAATTTTTATGGAACAGAGTCGAATTAACGAATCATATCGCTTGACCTATCTTTGCAAACGTTAAGTCTCGTAGTAATTATTGTAACGCGTCAAACATCACGGAAGAAAACAAGACGGATAATGGCTTCTGCGCGACACAGCGGCAACGGTGAGTAACGCGCGGCAATTAAAAAAAAAATTGTATCGTATCGATAAAATAAAGGCTGTTATACAAGTTCGTTCGTTGGTGTAATCTCGTTCATCCCCATCATCCAAATCAATTTTACGAAGAGTCCATTTTAAATATTAGTGTTCGATTATTTTAAAAATTTTTCAATTTTATTATGTTACATTTCAATTGTCAAAATTTTTGAAATATCAGTAGATATGAAATAAGTGTGCATAAAAAAATCGTGGTAGAAAATCTCGATTTCGATGTGGAATGGACTCTTTGATCATTTTCATAATTATTATAGTTTTAGAGTGATCCTTCGTTGAGAAAATTGATAATTTTTATTTCTGTTAGGTTCGAAATTAGGAAACATTGAGTCTATTTTGTTGTCTATTTTACAGATTCTAAATGTTAAGGGTGCTGCGCCATACCTGGGAAAAATTTTAATGGGGGATTCTAGAGGCCAAAATAAGACGAAAATCAAGAATAGCAATTTGTTGATGGAGGCTTCGTTAAAAAGTTATTAACGTTTAAAGTTCCGCCTGTAGAACGGCGCACTGTCACGCATGCGCAGCTGTTCGAAGATTGCTGTTCTACATTCGCAACTTTAAACGTTAATAACTTTTTAACGAAGCCTCAATCAACAAATTAGTATTCTTGATTTTCGTCTTATTTTGGCCTCTAGAATCACCCACTAAAATTTTGATTTTGGACAATTGTAAATTCTACAACTCAAACTTTGCTTTAGTACAGTGATCCTACTAGAAAATTGTTAATTTTTATTTTTATTAAGCTTGGAAGTAATAAATATTGAGTGTATGTGAAATAGAGAAAACTATGTTTATATTATAAAAATTTTGATTTTACACAATTGTAAACTACACAACATAAAATTTGTTTTAGTACAGTGACCATAATTCAGCGAACGTTATCGAGGGTGGTACTAGGAAATTGATAATTTTCATTTCTGTTAGGTTCGAAATTAGGAAACATTGAGTGTGGGTGAAATAGAGAAAACTATGTCTATTTTTCAAATTCTAAATTTTAAGGGTGTTCAACCACACTTGGGAAAAATTTTAATGGGAGATTCTAGAGGCCAAAATAAGACGAAAATCAAGAATAGCAATTTGTTGATTGAGGCTTCGTTAAAAAGTTATTAACGTTTAAAGTTCCGCCAGTAATGAATTTTTTTTTTCGAAAATGCGCTGGATTTCGGGTGTATGTCTATTCACCAAAAATGATTGTAATTGACCTCCACAACCGAAAATAATTTTTCCAGAACGATTTGAAATTATTTTTTTCGCTGAAAAAAGGCACCTATCGATTTTTCTTAAAAATTTGTTTTTCATTTTTAATAAATTTGATTGGCACTGTACAGGAAAGTTGTTTAATACTTTTTTATAGGTACCCATGGACTCTACTTCAGGAATAAATTTCAATCAAATCCATTCACTATTGTAGGAGTTATGGCCGTTTGAAAATTGGACCATTTTTATGGGGTTTTTTCTCAGTTTACGGAATTAAGGAACAACTTTTTGAATATTTTTAAAATTTTTACATATTCTTCACCAAAATACGCGTTGTTTTCCGTTTGAAGCATTAAAATCCCCCAATCCGTTCAGAAATTATGATATTTTAAATATTCGCATGAAATTTCGGGGGTGCATTTCTGGCCTCACATTAGATTTTCGGTCAGGAATTATTTTCTCGAAAATGCGTAGGATTTCGAGAGTATGTCTAATGACCAAAAATGATTATAATCGACCTCTGCAACCGAAAATAATTTTTTAGGACGATTTGAAATTTTTTTTTTCGTCGAAAAATTAGAGCACCTACTCGAATTTTTT